TTCTTGACTCAGGGTGAATAAATTTACTGCACTTTTTACTAACAAGAAAACTCTGAAATTTAATGGTCAGTTTATAATAATACGTTTTTTGCTATTATCAATCATAATTATGATTGCAAGCAACAGACCCTGAGACACAAAAACACACAAAATGGATCGAAATCCACCAATCAACCCATCACAAATCTTGAACTTTTGAACTGGTTGGAATCAGAGTTCAATTTCCCTAGAGATCCGCTAAGATGATTGATGGCAGTGAAGAACAGAAACATTAGTTGGCTTTTGAACTTCAGAGTTCATGTGTTATTGAAATGCACAGTAAAGTTGTAATCTCTTAAATGTTATTAGTCATTATGGAGACCATACGGCCATATTGTCAGATAATCTCAGAAGAATATTATAAACAAAAAACAGTTTGGAAATAAATTTTTTATGAACACGTCTTTTGAGAACAATGAATAACATTTTTAGAACTATACACTGGTGTTCATTTGAATTGTAAAAAGTTAGCACAGGCAAATAATAGCTTCAAAGACAAACAGTCTTTAGATGTGAAACAGATTTGCAAGAGAATTATTAATACAAAATTAATTTTTAAAATGGCAGCATCCTGAAAAATCTCTTCTTTATCTAGCCTCAGGTGGTCATTTTGAAGTTAAAAAATAAGACTCATTCATTATGATGAGTTACATTATGAGGGTGGATCACTGCATTTGCCGCCTGATGCAAAACTTGATATCTTACATTATTTTGTTAATATTTCATTCATTAAACGGTAACACTGTAAAATACCAGACATTTAACTTACAGTTTCAGCAGCCCCAATGATGTCTCTATGATGGAATATTGCTGGTGGCAAGGATAGTGTCTGTATTGGTGTGGGGCTAGTAAATCCTTGATCACTGAGAGCTTTTAGTATCTTGGTTGGAACTCCGAGGGATTCCCAGGTCTTCATATCTAGTTCTATTAAAATGACAAGATTAGCACCATGTAAGCAGAGTCCAATATTTTAGAAGAATTTGTTCCGCTTAATTGGGCAAAATAGTATAATAATATTATTTTACCTTCTGAACCTTCATTTATTCCATTTTCAACTAAAGCTTCCTGCTTCTGATCTGGTTCCTCATCATTTTCAATTTTCTTTTTCTTTTTCTTCTTTTTCTTCTTGGCCTCCGCAGATTTTTCTCTTTTTTCTTCTGATGTTGCTGGTGGTGTAGGTTTAGGTTGATCCATCTGCTCCTGAAATTATAAGCATTGCAGAACTCACAGTGTAATGTACCTAAAGTCCCAAAATATTGTAGAAAAGAATAAGAAATTAAACCTCTATTGAGCGGCCACCTCTAACAAGCGTCCACAGCCACCTTTTGGCTGTCCCAACAGGAGTTCTCCCATTGTTGTTACTTCCATTAAGTGGCTTGCTTAATACATGTAGTTATACTACTACATGAGAAATTTCTGCAATTTGATTGGCTTAGAGCAGTGGTATTTCAGCTTAATTTGAAATACCTACATGTGAAAATTACAACCTTTTGCAGGTCGTAGTATAAACAAATAATAGCATGATTTGTACATGATATTTGGGATAAATACCACTCAAGATATTTCAAAATTGTCTCAAATTTCACTCGCCTAACGGCTCGTGAACTTACATATAACAATTTTGAAATATCACTCGTGGTATTTATGCCAAATATCACTACTAATCATGCTATTACTTATACAAATATACCGAGGCAATTGTAACAAAACACAAGGATCATAAATAAGTTTATTACTGTGATTATTTTGTGATATGATCACAATAATACTACCACCAAGTTTACCTGTCCTGCTTGCACTTTCGCTTTTTTCTTACGAGGTGGAACATCAACATTAATCTCCTTTAGTTCTTCTAAGTTATATTCCTCCATAACCTCAAGAGAAACAAATCCTTCCATGTCGCTGGAAAAGAACGTTGGATCGTCCAACACGACCGGCTTCCATTTTCGTTTCTTGGTTTTCCTGTTTTTGTCCGCCATCGCAATAAGTGTACTTTTTCACAAACAAAATAAGAGGAGGCCTTATACTTTACTCTCGGGTGAAATAGTTTTCTCTCTTGGGCCATCCGCCATTGTGGAGTGCTTTCTTGGAGAGGATTGGATCGAGTTTTTAATACGCATGCTATCATGAATTCTTACCGCTGACTGTTTGTAGATTCGCGTGACCATGTTGCACGTTCAGCCAAATTCAGCTGACTATATAGTTTTGCGTTGTTTCTGCGAATTTTAAGTTCACTATCTTGATATGGCTAGCGCTCACCGCACTTATAAAGAAGAATGCTCTTTCATTGAGCGCCAAGATGAGAATTCATTCCTGATAAAGAAAGGCTTTGTTCCAAATATGAAGGTAACTTTAACCTAAGTTGAGAGGCTAGGTTCTTGGTTCTAAACCTAAAAAAGATTTCGTTCCATTCGATAGCAATTTACCCACAGCACGCTGTTCAAAATTTATGAGGCACACTATCACCTTTGTTCTTTTAATTAATAAGAAAGTGTTGGTAAACTTAATTAATTTATGCTTAGCTCAGTTCTATTTAATTGTTTATTTTACCCCAACCCCTTACCTGCCTCCCCCCCGCTCCTCCCTTCACTTACCTACCCTTCACATTTCACATTTCACCTCCCCTCCCATCTCTGGTTTCCCTTCTGTCACCAATCTTATTTCCAGGGTCTTTTCTTGCTCATGCATGAGAGGACCTTTGGAACGAGGTTGTCGTGTTTCCTCAAACACCAATTTTCTCATACACTGATGTGGGAAATGTCATAAAAACTGAAAAATATACAGGACTTTGGAAATTTACAAATATTTTCAATTATTTTATTGACCTCTTGGTTTGCAGCTCTCCCTTTCTACATTCCTTCTCTGACTTTTAGGTAAAACCCAGAGCTTTGTACTCAAAGTATTCATGACAGTTTTATGTCATCATGCTGAAACTATTATTTCCATAAAAAGCAATCTAAAATTGTAACAGTTAACTGTCAAATATTTGGGTAGGAAATTGTTGCTTTAGTTATTTACGTACGTACATAATTAATTAAATTATATACTATCTTCTTGGACATAATTCTACTGTCCAGTGGCGGATCCAGGGGGGGGGGGGCCCTGCCCACCCCTTATTTTTAGAGTAAAGTAGACCCAAAGGGCTGGAAAATTTTTGGGGGGGGACTGGGCCCCCCTCTTGTATCAAGGTCAGGATGACCGGGCCCCCACCTCCTTATCTTAAGGTTTGGATCCGCAACTGCTCTCTATTACACACGCTCACATGCTGGATACATACTGCTACCGTGGACTCCCTCCACACACAATAGTGTATTCCAGTTTGGAGTTACAATCTGAGATCTAAGTATTAACTTTAAAGGAGTCACATTCCCACCCAGAATAAAGGAAAACCGGTCTTAACTGCTTCAATTTTTCAAAATTTTTTAGCCTTGGCACCAGCAGCTCAAAGTCAATGATTGCACCACTGAAAACAAATCTCACCCTTTGACAGCAAATCAACTTGCGAATTCTGAGAACCCTTTCAGTGGGTATGTGGAGGTGTAGTGGCTGCAGAGAGATTATTACCTCAAAACTTTAGATGTTTAGGTCTGGGTTCAAGCCAGTTTCTATGATGTTGTTTCCTTAAAAATAAACGAGAAACTCATCTCCACTCCTTGAAATTAATTTAGAATAAACAGGGTTGTCACTAGGATTTCAAGTTGCCAGGGAAATACATGAAGTAGAAAGGGAATAAAACAGCTAGGCATTTCTTTTGGTTTTATTTTTCTTCTATTTTCCTTTTAAAGTGGCCAGGGGCCACGTTCATAGTAGCTGGGAGAAATCCCCGACCCCCACCTCCTAATGACAGCTCTGAATTAACTTCAACTGCAGGGATGACCATATGACAGAGATTAAGTTACGCTCCCCCTTCATCTGAACATATTTATTATCTTCAGTTGAATGGTGAGAGCAACTTTATTAACTCTCATGATTGCCCTGATTTTAAAATTATACAAATGTTGAAGTATTTGCAAATTATGTGTTTCCATAAATTTTATGTTTTGTCTGAAGGTTGAGGGAGTGTTTTATATTAATGATTTACTTGAAAAGCTGATGTTTGATGAACTGAAGCATTTTGCAGGAACCCAAGGTAATCCAAGTCACTTATTTTAATATTACCATTAATCCAGAGAAGGGTTAATACTATTTTTGGGATAGAATTGGGGTTCTTTCTCCTCTATTCTGGAATCAGAATAGTCAGGATTCATGATATCTCTATTATTTTTTGTTCGATAATTTTCAAGGTATTGGAGGGTTTCTTCCTGGTGTCAAGCAGATTGCAAATGTGGCAGCTTTACCTGGAATTGTTGGTGTAAGGCAACATAGTACATGTTGTGGTTCAATTTTGTCCTTGGTTCAAATTTTTTTGTTTTTTTTTGTTTTTTGGGTATGATAATGTATGACAATAATATGATAATGAGTTTGAAACAAAAGAAAGTAAAATTTGAACCAAGGATAAAATCAAACCACAAGATATATATTTCTTATTTTTTCAATAACTGGCCCTACGTACAAGTCTCTATATTTTAAAAATAATATTCAATAATGATATTGTGTTATTTGAATGATTTTCATGCAGAAATCAGTTGGCTTGCCAGATGTGCATTCAGGTTATGGATTTGCTATTGGTGAGCTCTAGCTGTTTGATAATCTAGTTGTAATATCATTCACGTCTAAAAAAGGAGCCAGGGTTATGTTTCTTTCATAATGCCGAGAAAGAATCTTTTTATTGTGTTTTTGACGTCAAACCACTGTAATAATAATGAACGGCAGGTCAACTCCAAAATTTCTTTTGAATGTTATTATTAATTCCATGGCTTATCCTGACCTACAAAATAATGTTTCATCCCCATTGGGCAGTCTTCTAATTGTGTTTGAAGTTTTTATCATCTCTAATTTATGTTGTTGTACATTTAGGTAACATGGCAGCTTTTGACATGTCTCTCCCAGAAGCAGTTGTTTCCCCAGGTAAGGGGTATTGACTTGTCTGTTATGAGAAAATCTTGATGACCAGCAATTAAGCGGTAGTTTTTTTATTCTTCAGGTGGTGTTGGTTTTGATATCAATTGTGGTGTAAGACTGTTAAGGACAAATCTTGATGAAAAGGACGTTCGTCCTGTTAAAGAACAGATAGCTCAGGTTAGAGAAATACCCAAAACAACTCGGTGAATCAACACCTGGTATGTTTATTACAACCTTGATGTCTTCCACAGTGGGCTTACAGCCTCCTAACTGGATGTTCAGAACTGACAGGGCAATTAACTGTCCACTGTTTGAATTCTTTACATTTTGCACACTATATTCGCCACTTTTAAAACCAGAAGGAATTTGATATGGCTAGCGCTCACCGCACTTATAAAGAAGAATGCTCTTTCATTGAGCGCCAAGATGAGAATTCATTCCTGATAAAGAAAGGCTTTGTTCCAAATATGAAGGTAACTTTAACCTAAGTTGAGAGGCTAGGTTCTTGGTTCTAAACCTAAAAAAGATTTCGTTCCATTCGATAGCAATTTACCCACAGCACGCTGTTCAAAATTTATGAGGCACACTATCACCTTTGTTCTTTTAATTAATAAGAAAGTGTTGGTAAACTTAATTAATTTATGCTTAGCTCAGTTCTATTTAATTGTTTATTTTACCCCAACCCCTTACCTGCCTCCCCCCCGCTCCTCCCTTCACTTACCTACCCTTCACATTTCACATTTCACCTCCCCTCCCATCTCTGGTTTCCCTTCTGTCACCAATCTTATTTCCAGGGTCTTTTCTTGCTCATGCATGAGAGGACCTTTGGAACGAGGTTGTCGTGTTTCCTCAAACACCAATTTTCTCATACACTGATGTGGGAAATGTCATAAAAACTGAAAAATATACAGGACTTTGGAAATTTACAAATATTTTCAATTATTTTATTGACCTCTTGGTTTGCAGCTCTCCCTTTCTACATTCCTTCTCTGACTTTTAGGTAAAACCCAGAGCTTTGTACTCAAAGTATTCATGACAGTTTTATGTCATCATGCTGAAACTATTATTTCCATAAAAAGCAATCTAAAATTGTAACAGTTAACTGTCAAATATTTGGGTAGGAAATTGTTGCTTTAGTTATTTACGTACGTACATAATTAATTAAATTATATACTATCTTCTTGGACATAATTCTACTGTCCAGTGGCGGATCCAGGGGGGGGGGGGCCCTGCCCACCCCTTATTTTTAGAGTAAAGTAGACCCAAAGGGCTGGAAAATTTTTGGGGGGGGACTGGGCCCCCCTCTTGTATCAAGGTCAGGATGACCGGGCCCCCACCTCCTTATCTTAAGGTTTGGATCCGCAACTGCTCTCTATTACACACGCTCACATGCTGGATACATACTGCTACCGTGGACTCCCTCCACACACAATAGTGTATTCCAGTTTGGAGTTACAATCTGAGATCTAAGTATTAACTTTAAAGGAGTCACATTCCCACCCAGAATAAAGGAAAACCGGTCTTAACTGCTTCAATTTTTCAAAATTTTTTAGCCTTGGCACCAGCAGCTCAAAGTCAATGATTGCACCACTGAAAACAAATCTCACCCTTTGACAGCAAATCAACTTGCGAATTCTGAGAACCCTTTCAGTGGGTATGTGGAGGTGTAGTGGCTGCAGAGAGATTATTACCTCAAAACTTTAGATGTTTAGGTCTGGGTTCAAGCCAGTTTCTATGATGTTGTTTCCTTAAAAATAAACGAGAAACTCATCTCCACTCCTTGAAATTAATTTAGAATAAACAGGGTTGTCACTAGGATTTCAAGTTGCCAGGGAAATACATGAAGTAGAAAGGGAATAAAACAGCTAGGCATTTCTTTTGGTTTTATTTTTCTTCTATTTTCCTTTTAAAGTGGCCAGGGGCCACGTTCATAGTAGCTGGGAGAAATCCCCGACCCCCACCTCCTAATGACAGCTCTGAATTAACTTCAACTGCAGGGATGACCATATGACAGAGATTAAGTTACGCTCCCCCTTCATCTGAACATATTTATTATCTTCAGTTGAATGGTGAGAGCAACTTTATTAACTCTCATGATTGCCCTGATTTT